AAAAATATCAAATAGAAGAGAGATAGGTTTGACGTCAATGAAATGAAATGAACCAGTGCTGCAGATAAACATGGGAAACACAATACGAACTTCAGAAGTAGGACAACACGTAAGATCTGTGCAACTGACGATTTTAATATATGCTATACATAATTTCCCTATATGTGTATATCAAAGTGCAAATAAACATTCCGTCACCAAGTCTCTTGACTGTGAGTCAACTATATAGGTCAAACTAGTAGATCGAGGATAATCAGATTGTCAGAACATAAGAATTTATCAGTGTCAAAACCAGCCTGAATCGGGAAGGCAAGATACACCTTTATCAACGCGAAACTCGTTTGGAATTCTTCCGCATCCAGTCACCATGAAGAACAAGAATCGAATCCTCAACACAAATGTTAAGTCAGTCAGTGTTTCCATACGGGTCAGATACTTGCCCTGTGTGTCACGGAAAGGATTTCTAACAACTTACAGACTTCTATCAACAGCTGCCTTCCTTTACTGGCTGGCTCCATCCTGAAGATCAAATGGCCGGCCAGAAAGAAGTAGCAAGAAGAAACTGTGGCAACTAAGAGCTAATCGCTCAACAAATATGTTGTCGAAAATGGAGGTAGACCGGGCATACGTTGAGGTGGCTGTTGAATGACATCGCCCTCAATGAAGGCCACTACTCGAGTGGAATGACAATGGGAAGTGACGAGTGGGTCGTCGGTGCGAGGGTGACAAGGAGGAAATAAGCGATTATGGTGAGTCTTGGACCCAACTGAAGAAGACAGTAGAGAAAAGAACAAATTGGAGATGTGTCGTTGAAGCCCTCTGTTCCACACGGAATCCAAGAGAAAAATAATAATAAGTAGTACGTGGAGTTACCATAATATTCCATTGAGCCATGTCAGATATATATATTTATCGAGTAGAAGGTAATTCGATGAAAGTTGTAGATGATCAAAAGAAAAGAGAAGCCAAGTGGAATACCTGCACATGATGTTACAATCAAGAGGAAGATGTTATATGAATATTAACTGTACCAGTGATTAATTCTGACTAGTATCATTTAGAATCTGAAGCCATCAGTCTCAGAGGTCTTGTAGACTTCAATCAATAGACACGTGGTGCTGTATAGCGGCTCGGCGGTACAACAGTTAGTTTATCCATCAATTGATGCCAATAGAGTTGATGTGCATTTTGAAATGATCACTTGTTGTTTGGAACCTCACATTTTGTCAATGTCTTCACCTAAGAGAAGAATGCACTTGTGTTGTGTATCAATAAACAGTCATGGAGAAATAGGGTCCTATAAAGTCAGAAGAGTAGAAAAACATCCACATAACTGTGTGTAGTGAAGATAAATAGAAACCAGGGATGGGAACATCCTCAACGGTCATCAATAGGAGTAGACGTGTCTTACGATAGTTAGTTGGTAAGAAATTATGTGTCAATTTTCGTGTAGTTTATAGTCGTCTAAAAGTGCAAATATATTTGTTGTTGTCCTGCTTTCAAATCAAAAACTTTCTGACTAACTATTTATATCACCTTTCTTAAATTTTGTCGCCTGTCTTATCAAGTTTCAAGTTTATTCATGTATACAATGCAATTCCAGGTGCACTAAATGTTGTATCAACTTCTCTCCTCTTTGTGGTGTAGTTAGTGCAAAGCTATCACTTGTATTCAGACAGCCAATATAAGAGTCATGAGTTAACAAATAGACCTTCTCCTTTCTATTTAATCCTTAACAAAGTTTAACTAGAGTTTAAAATACATAAATAGATGTTCTTGTTATTATATTTGGTGTTGTTTTGATGAACAGAAACTCACCAATCAACCTCTCTGCTCCTCAACACCCAAATAGTTTGATTGTTTTAGAACCATCACTTCACTCCATCTCATTTTGTAACTGTGTCCGCTACTATGTAAAAGTGTCACTGAAGTCTTAAACATTCGTTCTACACTCCACCAAATGTCGATGATTTTATAACCGGTATAGTGTCAGTCATAATACTGTGCAAACTGAAATATTAAATGAGCTAAATAGCTGTCATAGGCGAAGAGTAGTACCCAGACCTACAAATACCTTCCAGTGGTTCTCCAATTAAGTCTGTTTAAAAAAGGGAAGTATTATAGCTGACAACCTATCGTTGTTAACCGTGAAGTCATGATTGATGCATGCGCTGACATGATAACCTGATTGGACAGTTTTTGATTAATTTATTTTTCGAGGACCTTCAAGGTCATGTAGTCAATCAGATATTTATTGATTATTTAGGTAGGGTTTAAATTTACGTGGATATGTGAATGATATACACACTCTCATATTTTAAATAAATGGAGACGTTGTCGCGATTGTTGGAGTTGAATGTGACTTTTGTGTCTAACTCAGTGTGGAGGAATGTTTCCAAGCAATCAGTTTGCTTAATGTGTTGTGTCTAGAGGTGCATTCTAGTCGAGTTAGACGAAGCAGTAACACTATGTTATAATAATAATAACGTCCTGTTTATTCGCTTTGTCTTCAATTTATTATTATTATCACTTATGCTGTTTGTGATCATCTTGTCACGTTCGATCTTATTTGCCACAAAAATACAAGAAATTCATAAATTGTATTTTAATTCCCTTACTAAGTAGGAATTACACAATGAAATATTAAGAGTAAAAATCAAAATTACAGAAATAGAAAGCAATCATTATCTTACAGATGATAATTTTTAACACAATTTGAGTCGATTAAATAATTAGATGTCTTTGTCTATTATTTTATTTTATTGATCAATAACTAGTTGAGATAAATATCATTATAAATCAAGTTTGTGGTTTGACAGACTTCGCTTATGTACTGTAGTTTAATGTAAACATTTGAGTACACAGTATTGTTTAGTGAATATCATTTCGGTGATTTATGTTGGGGGACTTGGTAGTTCAATGATAGAATACTTGCTAACTAGTTGGGAGCTTTAGGTCCGATTCCCCTCCTGATGCACTCCTGAATCTCTCCTAGACTATCAGCCTGTAATAAGCATAGAAAAGTTGTACATGAGGCCAATAAACCTGCTCTTTAGAATCAGCATCTCCACTGAAGCGTCAAAACTGACTGACTGGTTTCAACATAGTGTAACAACAGAAGACAAGGGCCAACAGATCGTTTTATTACGAAATCAAAGCGTATTTATATATTTTATGTACATTAATAAGGCTTATGCAAGCAGAAAAAGGCAGTCTTCTAATTGGCTGTTTCTCGGAAGTTAAGCAGACAAACACTCTTGATTGGTTGTTTTCGATATTTCTCGGAAAGTAGAGCCATTTATCTGCAAATCATATTTGCCCACGTTTAAGTCTGCTGTGATTAGTTGTTGAATCAGCCTAGATTAATGTCTACCAATCAGCGTCGATTAATGTCTACCATTTGGCTAGCAGCCTGCTCTCACACAATAGAACTTCGCACAGAAGTGTACCAGCTCAAGTTGCCACACACAAAGATAGACAAACGGGAGATAGAAGAGAGATTCAAAAGAACGATAATTAGCAGAAATGTGAGGGATAAAGAATAATAACATTGGAAAACATGTCGCTTTGACGGATATAGAAGATCACAAAGGATGATGAATGCATCTGCGCCACTGAGAATGATTGCGACCCATATCACCAATTGTCTCCAGTGATCCCGAAGACCCCAACCAGACAGTCGATACCTTTCTATGTGGTCCAAACTAACTGTCAAGTTTTGGTCTGACCACTACAACCTCCTTTCCAACCTAATCCTGTATCAGTTAATGTCGTCCCGTCGAGCAAGACGATGGATAGGCATACATAACACATGTCCTAATCATCGTAATCGATGTCACTTCACAACTCCCTCCTTACCTAACACTACACCTAACCTTAATATTACCCATCCCACTATACCCCCTAAAACGGAGGATGGAATGAAGACACTTATAATGGAAGACAGCTACTGGCCTTTTCATGTCCTCCACTTTCAATGGTCATGTATCATAGCCATAGAAGAGGACAGAGAGAACTGCTGAGTAGTACACACACCCTTTGATCGACAACCAGACGGATATCACGTCTACTAAGCCAAAGATGGAGTAAGTTGGTATATGCCAAATGAGCTTTCTGTATCCGTACTGAGATTTCGTCAGCGATCAACCCACTGGCGTTGACTGATGCAACTCGTCCAAACAAGTGAATTGGTGAACACGTTCTACTACATCTTCAAGCTAAATATCAATGTAGTCCCGTCCTGTAGCACCATCTTACATTTGACAACAGGAGCAAATCGTATAGCAAATATTTGAAGATTGCAGCTCAGCTCAAGGTGTTCATAAGACTGCATTTTATCAGGGTCTTCACCTAAAAGGACTATATATATATATATATATATATATATATGATGAAATTAAAGGAAAATGGGGATAGTGGGCATATTATATGTTTGAAGGCAATCGGCAGGAAGCCTTGGACCTAGGTTTCGTGCTAGTTGGCACTCATCAGCAAGGCGTATCTGCAACCTTGAAGGAACTCATGTCCCTTCTGAGATTCGAACCCGCGTTGCCCAGTGCCACCTGCAGTCAGAGACGTTACCACTGAGCTATTCAGGCTGACTGATGATTGACTTCCTGTAGGACTGTAGTGGATACTTTGATTGGACACTAGTAACTAGTGTGATGTATTTGACTAGTCCTTTCTTTGGTGCAGACTGAATTCTATCAGTCAGGTTCGCAATGTGATGACCGTTCTTGGTAGCTCGCCATCATGGTGCACATTGATTTGATGATATTATACGGTTGGAGGTAATTGGCAGGAAGTGATGGACCTAGGTTTCGTGCTACTTGGATAGTGGGCATCCAAGTATTAACATGCTTTTTATATGTGAGGTTTTTTTGTGCAAAACGGAAATAACTGGCGGCAGAGTCCATAGTATCCGTTTAACAGTATGAAAAACACTTTTAGAACCTTATATCCATGTATGCAATTTTCTTTTCAATGTAATTTATTGTCAGGTACTCGAAATGCATCGGATTGGTGGTTATCACGTTGGGTACAACAGAATGGAAATTTATCTTCATCATCATTATTCAAGGGAATGATGACATATTCAAGCAATTCATTTCTTCCAGTTCATTCTATAAACTATAAAGCTTTCAATTTACACTCTAAACATGATTCACATCTAATTAACTACAATCATCCATCTACTCTTAATGATATGCAAAAAAATAATATGTATCATTTGAATACTACTACTTTGTATTATCTAAAGATTTATTCAATTATCGTGGCTAGTAATATACTCGCTACTGTATTTCGTGCTGTTTCATTCGCTTTCGGTGGCTTGGTAGCAGCATCAGTTATTCATGAATCTGCGTTGGATACAATTCTAGAGGTTTGTAATATAATACTTTATATAGTTTGGTTTGTAAGGATTAGTTATGTTTTACGGATTGATCACAGATTGATATCAGTTAGAGAACCATTGAAAACCAGCACTGGAGTACTGGACAGTTGATGTTTCATCCTAGTTTGGGAATCATCGGCGCTAAATCACGAATTAGTAGAAGTTAGAATTCACGAGCCATTGAATTGGGTCCCAGTGGCTGAATGGTATACGAGCCAGCTTGCCTTGTAACCGGAAGGTCCCGGGTTCGAATCCCAGTGGGTGCGTACTACCGATGATTCCCAAACTAGGATGAAACAGCAGCTGTCCAGTACTCCCTGGTTTTCAATGATTCTCTAACTGATATCAATCCATGATCAACCCGTAAAACATAATACTTTATGTTAGTGAAGATTCTTATGGATTAATTCTTTTTTTTTGACTTTAAATCAAAGTTACCTGGGTTTTTTTTGTAAAAACTCTTTATGGTATTCCTTTACCTTCTCGAGTGGAAGATAAGGCTTAAAGTAATTCCATATCTACTGCTGCTGAAGACATTTAACAGTTGCCATTCAGCAATAAAATTCACTCTTGAAATGGAAAACGACTCAAAAATTCCGTTTCTTTATGTGGAACTAACAAGAACAACTGATGGGAGTCTAAGAAGATCGATCCATAGAAAAACTACGTGGAATGGTCAACTAACAAATTGCTATAGCTGGGTACCCTCATCCGGCGCATCTGTAGTCCCGATGTTCTTGAAACAGAATTAGATCTTTTGAGAGAAATCTTCATCCGAAATGGATACCCAATAAGATTCATCGACAAAAATATCAAACCAATAATTCAGAGAAACGAAACTTTAATTGCGCCTAAAAAGAAACTCTACATGAACTTGGATCTCTCAGAAGAATATCCTTTGCAGCAACGCTAAGAATAGTGTTCTGCAGTCGCCCACTGATCTGCAGAAGCCTCAAGGACAAGATCCCGCATCTTACCACTTCTATGTGCATATATCAGTTCACCTGCTGCTGTGGAGCCAGGTACATCGGTCGTTCGACGCGCATCCTGTCCAAGAGGATTCAAGAACACTATCCACTATGGTTGTGAAAAGGCAATAGTGGTGCAATAAGGAGTGGGATAATTGAACACCTGGTTAACACTGATGATTCCATCTCAACAAACGCCTTCTGCTTCAAAGTAATCTACAGAGTCGAGAATAACCTTCCAAAGGCAATACACTTTCGTCTTCTTTGCATCGCTGAAGCTCTATCCGTTCACATAGAAAAACCGGAGCTGTGCATACAAAAGAGGATTACTCAACCACTTCTACTGTCATGGTAACAACTTTTTTGGTTTGATTTGAGTTTTTTTTATTTTGATGACCTAATTGTAATTTTGTTTAACAAACTTAAGGTACACATACATACGAAATAACACATATATATATTTGCGACTGTACAGCTAAGAAAATGAATTCGTCGTCGAAAAGAGACTCGTCGTTGATCTACGTGTTTTGTTTTCATTAATTCCATTGTAGTTTGTTCATTAGATGTATCACACAGTGAAACAGTATTTTTATCTACTGGATGGCGTTTCGTGACAAGGCAGGAATAAAAGTGGTCTGCATTCAAACCCACAAACTCAATTAGAAACAAGCTTTGTCGGATAGAGGATCCATTCTGTGGAGCCTTTAAAACAAAATAATTTAGTTTATCTAATACCCTGCCTGCAATGATCGTCAGGTCAAAGTAGTAGAGCAGGTGCAGTCAGACTAGCCGAGCATAAAAACCTAGCAGCAAAATGTAGATTGGTTGACCCAAATAAGGTAAGAAATCTTGAGATTAACCCACCTATAGCACTACATGCAATTACATACAACCATGCATTAGGATGGGAGAGATTGATAATGGGAGTTTTATTTATCGAATCAACTGCAAGCACATGGAATCGGAATCATTCAACACCTGTTCCAGATATCTGGAAAATCCTACTACCCTTACAACGACAAATAGGAGAGAACAAAGAAAACTGTGAAACTCAAGTTTCGAAGTCGTGTGTTTATAATTAATATGATTATGAACAATAAATTTCGTTTGGAACGTCATCCAGCAAATAATACTGTTTTCCTGACTGTGTGATATATCTAATAAACAAACTAATATGGAATTACTTACTACCACAGTGCCCAAGTTTTTTTTTAATAGGGCTTAAAGGTGTTGACCTTTGAAGTTTCACTGGCAGTGGTGTTTCGTTTTTACAGGTTTAATTACTGGCAAGCCGCAAAGTTTAGGTGTGCGTTGGTTAAAGGGGGAGAACTGGGACCACGTACATAATTGGTTGGTGATCACCGAATATGATTAGTATATTTAGAAACATTGGGATGTTGTATATTTAGTATATGTGGTGAATTCCTTTTGTATACTGGTGTTAATGTCACTAGCCTATCTAATAACTGTGATAAGTTTTGTAGCTAGGATACCCTTTGAAATCATACCTGTCATCCATTACCTACATAATCATTTTGATGTCAACATTGGTACTATGTACGTCCTCTTCTGCAGATTTGATCATGATATAGCATAAAATAGAGAACCACTGCAAAACCTGAGGATACTGGACACCCTATTTCGCCCTGGTTTCAGACACTTAAGCAGTAGACAAGCATCACGCTGCTCGAACCCACGACCTCTCAGTTAAAAGACAAGCTCGTAGATATAGTGGCCCATCCCGATACACCATATATATAATATTATATATATATATATACAGGGCAACCTCCAACCAATCTCATCGATGAGTAACTATACTTTTGTTTGGTATTGTGGACTTTGCTGGTCTCGACTTCTGTTTTACTCATCAGAGTCAAGTATCAACACGTCACACGTGGATGCTATAATCATCTAGATGTCCTTTCTAATCGCCCGAATTAAGGAGAATGTAATTTTTCCTACAGTCGTGTTGGTTGTCTCTAAGACGGAAAAAGACTTTTCTTCTCCACGGCCGATTATCAAGCATCAGATATCGGTTCATATATATCTGCCTTTTCTGCCTCTATTATTTATATCAAGCTGGATCTATTCAATAATTCGCTCAACTATTGATAATATATATATCGATCGTTGTCTAAACTTTGACTGTTATCAAATCACATAGGTTGGTTACAAAGTGTTATGTACTCGTCGCTAAATTATTGTTATGGACTGGTCGAGAAATTAATAGTCCTGACGCGAGAAGGCGGAAATCAGAAGACCACTAGGTTTGCGATAATACTTCTATTGTCCAAACACAAGGAGACGAAAATAAATGGTCTCACACCAAAGTGGTAAGTAAGTAAAGTAGTTGTAAAGTAAAGTCACAAGATTGTGAATGCGAAATATATATGAATGTTCCAGACAAAGCGTGGGAAAAATCATTAGACAGTCTTAACATGAATGGCTAATTATAATGGAGTGTCGATCCAAATATACATAGCGAATATAGCAGACATGTCAAACAACCATATATGGATATATGTCACCAAGCAACGGACTGTCAACAAACACTCATATTATATATAATATAAATGGAATATACATTGATAAAGGAGACAAGTTCATACAAGTGAAATGGTCACAGACTAAGCGAGCAACCAGAAAGAGACCAACATACACACACACATAAATATATATGTGGATACATATCACAAAGTTTGCAACCAATAGGCATTTTGATATTTTTCACTTTTAGATGGTATAGTGTCTAATCAACATACAACTAAATATCGTATTATTCCTTGCAAAGTTTAAAAGAAATTTTGAAAAAATTACCCAAGATAGAGAGTAAAAGACTATATCAAAACGATGGAGAGAAACCATCAACATCTGCATGTATTTTAGTAATTCCTATCATTCATTAACTTCAAATTTTTTTTCCTTCACGTTCCTCAGTGGAGCATAGGGCTTCAAGCTAGTGGCTTGAAGTTTCTGTAGTAGTGTTTAATTTTTACAGGATGGGGTTGCTAGCCTCATGCCCAACCCTTCCTCTTTACCAGAATTATTTCTGTCTGAGTGTGGTAAAGGAGTGCACCAGCCGGGGATCGAATCCCGGACCATGTGCGTGGTGGGCGAGTGTCCTAACCGGTATACCACCGACGCACATTAACTTCCAATGCCTCGACGAAAACAATTAACCATACTTATACTCCTGTAGTTAAGTTAATTAGGGCTTCTTGTATCAGTTTCGAGTCACTTAAGAATCACAAACCAAACTCATATCACAGTTATTATGAGTAATACAATTTCACATCACTAATTGAAATGTACATTCTTATGATGAATCTTTACCAATACCAATGAATGAATTCAACGTGATTGATGTAGCTCAACGACGAGCATATCTCAACAATGATCACGTTGTGGTCCACGTACCTACCTCTTAGGTAGCTAGACGAACTTTGACACAGATTTTCTCGCAAAAGACGTTATAGAACCACTGAAGACCTGGGAGTACTGTACAGTGGTTTCGCCCTTGTTTGAGACACCTCAGCAGTACATCCTCGTTACCTTACGGAGGATCGAACCACGAACCTTCAACTTATAAGACAAGTTCGTAGACCATTCAACACTATAACGGAATCCAATGTCTCTTCAATTCTAACTTTTGCCAATTTGCGACGTATAACGCTACCACCAGTCAGCGCTATTGGTGCGTATCTGTTCTGGCGTCCAATTTGACGTACCCATTGGTCACAACTGCCAGTGTACAAGGATTTGATTGGTTTCAATTTTGATCAGGAACTGACTTCAGTTAGAGTACCGCTGAAAACCAGGGGCCACTTGACGGATATTTCATCCTAAGTTGGGACTCCTCATCTGTACACAACCATAACCCTACCAGGGTCATGAACTTTTAAATTTTACTTATCAAACCATTTCATACTAAAAGGAATAAAATATAAAATTTGAACAAAATTTACCTATTTACGTAATTATTTGTCAATATGTATATAACATGTAACTATGTATAAGTTCAAGTGTATTTTTCTTTTCCTAATTACAGGGACGACTGAATTACTTTGATAGTACACCACTAGGTCGTATTGTCAATCGTTTTTCATCTGATGTTGGCACTGTGGACGATGCGTTACCGTTCCAGTTGAATATACTGTTGGCTAGTTTAGCTGGATTATTGGGAGCATTATTTATTGTTTGTGTATCCTTGCCAACTTTAATCTTTTTCCTGTTACCGCTTGTATTTATATTTTGGTCTATTCAAAGACAATATCGTGGAGCTGCTAGAGATTTGAAAAGAATATCAAGGTTAGTAAGTCAGGTGGGGGAAGCGAAGCATTTTTCAGTGTGGTCTTGTATTATCCTGGCTTGTGTCTCACATATTTTGCAGTTTTCATGAGTAATAGTCTTATTAACTATGAAAGCCTTTGAAGTGAAGACTATCTACCGGCAAAGTTCTACAATAGCGTCCCAAGGGGCGCGAACACATGAGTGACCTTGAGTCGACCAATCAGAAAAAAGGAGGATTTTCGCACAAAAAATTACGTATATATACATAAAAAGGTATGAAAAAACATTAAACAGGGTATTTTCCTCTGATATGAGATAAAAAGATATCTCAATTATAATGGAGAGTGTCAGTTTTTAAATTAAACCAATTCCTATGCATGTATTCATCTAGGTGACTAAAAACAACTTGATTTTATATCTCTTATTCTATTTTTGAGTCTTCCCAGAAACCTCCTATTGAATTCGTATGGGTACCGGTTCTGGGGTCGACGGAGTCATCCGAGTGGTTAACTCGATGGTGTATATATCCTAAATCGGATAGTCGGTTATATGCTGCCCACTCATCCGTGTGAATGGTAGTGCCTGGCAAGACGAGCCTCTGAATAATAGGGAGAAGTGTGTCAGCACTCCCATCTGGAATAAGTTCGATAAATCCTTTCCGAATCTGGGTGTCGTAAATTCCCAGAATCCAAACGTTATTCGCTCTGGCACATCCTCGATTATACTTCTTCTTTATAAGGACAGTTTCATCGATATGATTAACTACATCGACCCCGCCCAACACTTGAGTAATACTATTCATTTTCCATTACGCTAAGTCTTGACAAAACTGGAACCATTGCACAGTAGACGTTAACGTATTATCTGTCTGAGCGGCAGTTGACCTCATACCGGACTTCAAAATCCAGTTATGGCATAGAAACAGTATATTCGTCAGAGGAAGTTTCGATTTAGCAAAGAAACTTCCTAGAAGACAATTAACTGAGAGTGTCACTTACCAGTACAAACACCTGTTCGTTTCCTACACTCCGTACATCTAAATATATATCCATCAATGACCTGTGAATACGGTTACAGGCTCATTGAAGCACCACAACTACATATACGAGAACGTCCAATTAATCCATTATCCAAACAGTATTGAAATACGTGATCTGGGTGAAATTTGCATCTGAGCAGACGAACAGCGTTCATTTTCGCGCTAGAATAATGGTAAGTTTCCTAAACCAACGACTAGCAAGCATTCAAGGTCATTTGAGCGTTCGCATTCCTGGGACGCTATTGTTGAAGTTCGCCTATCTACCGTCACTGATGATGATACTCCCCTGTTTATAGTAGACTGGATCACGCGGAAGACCGTGGGGAGTGGGGTCGAGAAGGCAGGAATATGTTTGGTCTTCAGAAAACTCTAGAAGATTTAGACTTCGTGGACAATTAAGGTATAGTATCACACAAACTCGAGGGTGTATACGCGAAAACCAACAACATACAAAAAAAAAGCTTCAAAGAAAGGACTTCAAGCAGACGTAGAGAAGACAGAAGTGAGAAAGATGCCTAAACAACAACAACAACTACAAGTACCGGTCGCCATCAAAGAGAGAGATTTGAAGAAAATCACTTCTTTAACTTATGTAGACGGCATCACTTCAACTACAGGTGTAAGGAATGTTGTAACTGCACTGAACTGAATAAAATCCTTCACCACTAACTACTATAACGGTAATGAACTCAACTGGTACGCTTATACGTCTATTTATCCGTTGTACCCTCCAACTCACTTGAGCCACGTGAATATCAAAAGATAAAGGCTGGCCTGTGACTGTAAGATATTGTATATTTACCACAATACAGTAGGCTGACAACCGTGGAAATGGATTGTTCTTATTAGTTGGAAATGTCTATTCTGATTGGTTGGTTATCGGACAAACACGATGAATTGATCACACACGAAATTACAATATGCGTGAGAAATAATACACTCACATAGTAACTCCATCATACAAGATAATCACACGATTTGTGAGAAGGACGATATACTTTTTTATTCTGGATCCTATCAACGGATGAAGATGTCAGAGTAGTCGGTTAGGGTCGAGAAAGAAAGACAGACCTTCTACTATCATGGTAACAACTCTGCTGATTTGACTTAACTTTTGCTTGTATGTTTATTTTTCTAACTACTTAAAAGTCTTGCGTAACTTTTCTATGTTATTTTGTTTCCATGTACACCCTGAGCATAACTCTTTCATCGAACTATCCACATTATTACGTAACTCTTCTTTAACAATCGTTTGTGAAAACTCATCACTTTTGTTACTACCCTCTTATATCAACATTCAATTCATCTGAACTTACTAATTATATTTTCGTTTGGCAAATTTGGTGTACACACACGTACAAAATAACCATATTTATTTGCGATTGTACAGTTATGAAAATGCATTCGCCGCCGAGAAGAGACTCTTTGCTGAACTACCGGCCTTCTGTCTATTAATAGACCTTCATTAGTTTGAACTCAGCGTGGAAATCTTCTGCACTCAAAACAAAGAATAAGATTCGAATTTTCATCTCTAATTCTTCTATATGACACAGAGACTTGCTCTGTTATCAGAGGCATTTCCAACAACTGTTTTCGCTAGCCCCATAGTAAATATCAGTCGTCTGGTTTGAAAGGATTAGCAATGTGGAACTCTTGAAACGAACCAACCAACAACATATTGCCAAAGAAATATACAGTTGGAAATGGAGATGGATCAGGCACACACAAACACACACTTGCTTCTCTCTTCTGCTGTGCTCTTCACCTGCATCCGTGTTAGTCCATACTCTTTCAACTCCTCTTCACACGATCTCCCCCATGTCACCCGTGCACTGACGTCCCACTCGCCGCTTCCCTTTCGGCCTGGTTCCACTCGAGCGATGGCCTGACGCGCGATGTCACCAACCGGCCTCCTCAGAGAGTGTCCGATCCATCTCCACTTTTTCCTGCATATTTGTTGGGCGATTGGTTCTTGTTTTGTTTGTTTGTTCCCATAGTTAGTTTCTTGTTGGTGATTCTTTCCGGCCCGGCCATCTGATCTTCAGTATAGATCCAGCGAAGACAGTTGTTGATAAAGGTAACGTCTCAACAGGCTGTTGGAAATATTCTTTGTGACCACCCGCCAAGTTTCTGATCCGTATAGAAGAGCTGACTGACATGACGTTTGTATTGAAAATCCGACCGAATTTTGTTGTTGATCCTGAGTGATGAAGATTTTCAGGTTGATGAATGTGTGTGTTTCTCGCCTTCCCGATTCCCGCTCGATTTGACATCCTCGTCCGTTCCGACTGCCTGTAGTCGAAACAATGCTCTCTAGATAAGTGAATGAAGTAACCTCCTTCAGATCCCTCCCGTTGATGGTGATTGGCGCTGGGTGTTGTTGTTGGCTGGTTATTTTCATAACCTCCGCCTTGTCTATGTTCACTTGGAGTCCTGTCTTCGCCGGCTGCTTCTTCGACCAGTTTTTCGGTCGGTTTTCGCTTGTAAGTTTTCAATTTTGTGTGACATCAAACATAAATCATTCACGTGCGAAATCCAGGTCTTCTGGGTTCTTCACGTCGGTCCAGTCAAGGATATCCTTGTCTTCTCGTTTCCCACTGTCTGGCGCATAATCCAGTCCACCACAATTAGGAATATCATTGGTGATAATAAGCATCCTGTCACGAGTGAGAACTGGATTAATTTTCAAGTATTAGTTTACAGGGATATGATTGATTTGAACCTTGAATAGAGATTAACCGCAGTTACAGAACTACTTATAACCAAAGAGTACTGAACAAGTGTTTGGCCCTTGTTTTGAACTCTTCAGTGGTACGCATCCATGGCCCTACTGAGGATCGAACTCAGGACCTTCAGGTTATAAGTCTTATTCTATTTGAAAGTCAAAACTAGCGGGGTCCACCTAGTTGGGCATGAGGAAAAGATGTCCACCAATAACGTTGGTTGGCGGTCGCGAATTCTTAAAAGTTAGAATCGATGGGACAGTGAATTCCGTCCCCCAGCGACTGGATGGTCTACGAACTTAGCATGTTACCTTTTGATTGAACACTTGTTAGTAGTAGCTAGTGTAATGTTTCAAGTCCTCTGTTTAGTGCAGACTGAATTCTGCCAGTCAGGTTTGCAATGTGGCCACCATTCTAGTTAGCTGGCCATCACGGTGCACTTTGAATTGTTGATACTAGATGGTTGGAGGTAAAAGTGACTGATAGAATTCAGTATGCACCAAATAAAGGAGTAGATACACCACACTAGTTGCTAGTGTCCAATCAAAAATATCCACTGCAGTCCTACAGGAGGTCAATCGCGAGACCGAATAGTGCAGTCGGTGACGCGGGTTCGAATTTCAGAAGGGAAATGAGTTCCTTCAAAGTTGTAGACTTGTCCTGATGACCAGTGCCAACTAGCACGAAACCTAGGTCAAGCCACGCTTCCTGTGGCCAATCGCCTCCAACCATCTAATATTATGCTGTAACCTGAAGGTCCAGAGTTCGATCCCCATCGGGCTCACAAGTGCAACCTCTGGACAATCCCAAAGTAGGATGAAAACAGCTGTCCAGTAATTTCTTGGTTTTGCGATGGTTCTCTAACTGCGATCAGTTCGTGATCAAACTTGAAATCGATCAAATCCCTGTAAACTAACTAACATTTAAAAAATAAAGTTAGTCGTATTTCATCGATTTCTGATAAGTGACTTGTAAATTTTCAAACTTAAATATCCTAAATGAAATAAAGTTTCAATATACGTTAAAATAAAGATTTGCACTCATAATGCTCATATTGTTGCTCTCTAAATTTTGGATTTTTTTTGTTTCTAAAACAGAGAATTCAACTTCAGTGTTATTAATCATCTTGAATTTGTTTATATTCGACGAAGAAAGCGTCTCCACTGGGACTATGAAGAAATTAGGCAGCAGACGAGAAAAATCACCAAACATCCGAGATTGTTGTATGCAGAATTACCAGTCGAAATCGTGATCCCCTAAAATATCATATTCTGTAACCCATAAGTGACCAATACTATTTAAGTCATTGATTCAAAACACTTTTATCAATAGTCATAGGAGGTAATTCTTATCCGTGATTTCTCCTCTAATTGTGTTCAGCTAAATCTACCAATAAGAACGTGATGCTGACATGGTGTTCATTGTTTATCAGTCAATATCTAAAGTGTTGGTTTGTAGGATTTGATTGGTTACAGGATTTCATCATGAGCTGACATTGGTTAGAGAACCACTGGAAAACCTGCAAGGAGTACTGGACAGCTATTTCGTCCCAGTTTCGGACTCTTCATCAGTACTCACCCATCGGCAGGGTTCGAACCCAAGACCTTCTGGTTACAAGGCTAGCGAGCTCGTATACCAATAAGCCACCGGGACCCTTATACGAGCTTGCCTTGTAACCAGAAGGTCCAGGGTTTGAATCCCGGTGGGTGCGTACTGCTAAAGAGTCCCAAACTACGACTAAACAGCTATCCAGTACTCCCTGCAGGTTTTCTCAATGGTTCTCTAACCAATGTCAGCTCTTGATGAAATATCTAAAGTTATTGTATTACTGATGTATAATTATTTGTTTAATATCCACTGTTATTCTTACGATCATTCAGTTTTATTTCATCTCTATCTGCCTTCCTGTTTTCAGTGTTGTCCGGTCACCTGTTTACGCTCACTATACGGATACTTTGTGTGGTCTAACAGTAATACGTGGCCTAGGTCAAGAAATTCGTTTCCGTCAGATAACAGCTTCCAAGTTAGGCGATCAAATACGCGCTGAATTGACTAGTTTAGCTGCTGGTTCATGGTTAAGTATTAGATTACAGTTAATTGGTACAGGTGTTATTGCTTGTGTTATTGGTATATCATTGGTTGGTCGATTGTTTAACTGGACACAAGTAAGTTTATTTTTATAGAAACATTTAAACTTTTAAAGTTAATGTATTATTTAAACAACTATGTACTAGTGTTTGTATCTCTTTTGAATGCTTTTATATACTTATAGTCCTTCTTTATGACTATGACGTTGGCTCAGTGGGTAGAATGCTCGCCAACCAAGAAAGTTGTCCGGGCTTCGATCGCTGGTCGAGGCACCCCTAAAACCTCGGTCTACGGGTAGTAAACCGGTAAAGATGGGAGGCTAACAACTCCACTCCGTAAAAAATAAACGCCACCGCTACTGAAACTTCAAAGGTGTAGCTTGAAGCCCTATGTTCCACCGAGGACGCAAAGAAATGAAAAATAATAATGATAACCAATTTATGACTGTCTACCGTGACCATTGAAAGTGAAAGATACGAAAAGGTCAGTTATTTTTGATCTCAGATGTCTGTGTTCTATCTTCTATGGTAAACGGTATAATATGGTGAGTAATACTGCGGTTAGGTGTCGAGTCCTAGATAGGGGAGGAAAATTTATCGATCGAGGTGGCTAGGACACGTGTCATGCATACCGAGGAATGTTGGCTCACATAGAGTTAGGTTTGAAAAGAGTTCAGGGGGTTGTCAGATCAAAACTTAGCATCAACCCATGAGGTCTTTGACAGTTGGCTTGAGCAGCCAGCTATGTAGAGAGATGTGTAGACTGCCTAGTCGAGGTCTTCAGGATGCCAAGAAATAATGGTTGTGGACAATTCGTGGCATGGTTCAAAATCGTTCTCATTGACGCAGATTCATTTATCACTCTTTGTATTCCTCCCATATCCATTTGAACGCTATTGTCTCTCTATGTCATACTTCTCTTTTGAATCTCTTATTTTTATCAATTGTCTTGCTTTGTGTGCTAAATGGAGTGTGTCAACTTGACCTAGTGCACTTCTTTGTAAAGTTCTACTTTAAAACTCAGTTATGTTATAATTTACTTATATTACAATAAGAGACACTGACAGGGAATCAATATCCTCCTATCAGTTATTTCTAAACTTTTTTCATAAATTTAAGTACTTGATCAAATCTCAAACATTTCCCTTTACAAATGAATACTACTCAAAACCATTAAATGAAACTGACTGAAGAGTCCCATACCAGGACGAAACAGTTGTCCAGTACTCCCTGGTAGGTTTTCCAATGGTTCTCTAACCAATATCAGCTCATGATGAAGTCCTGTAACCAATCAAATCCCTACAAACCAACACTTGAAACGGACTTATTTCGTGTATAACACTATTATTTGTATCACCACGTTTATGATCAGTGTAGTTACACACTGAAATCACTGACATCAGACTTACCTTGTTTTTGAATTTGTAATGAGGGGTATCTAAGGTTTTGGAATCACTTCAACATTTTCTGTGTGATAATATCAAATGTGATTCAGAGATCTGTTGTAATAGCTGTTAAAATGCGTTTTGTTCTAGTCCCTAACCATCTATCTCTATTCTTTACTTTTCATGTTTTTTAGGTTGCAGCTATTGGTTTGTCAACTACCTATGCATTAAATATTGCTGGTTTAATGACTAGTACAGTGTATGATATGACTGAAACAGAGAAAAATCTTGTTGCTGTAGAACGTTGCCAAGAGTTGACAGATGATACCCCAATCGAGTTTAATACTGTATCAATTAAGCCAACAGTTAGTTAGTTTGTTTGTTTGTTTGTTTTTAATGATTTTCTCTCTGTGACTGTTTTAAAACTTCATTATGGGTCAAATTTATTTTGATAAAGTCTCACAGTGTTATCCACTAAGTAATATTTACTGATGACCACGTTTCGAACACAATTTATTGCTGCTCATAATCATATCAGGATACTCGCACAACCTTCTAACTTTGTTTATACAATTCCATTATTTTTCATCGCTCGACTTGATTGGTAGTAGTATTTTTCATATTTCGGGTATGAGTGATGAGTCATTCCTATTGCACATGTTGGGTGTAGACTCGATGAATAAGGATTCAGTAATCAGCCTCTCTTTCCGCCTACCTAGATTACTTTTTAGAATTTTAACCCTCACCCATCCACCTTATTGTGTGGTTGTGTGTTAATGCATGCAGTGCAATGCGGTGCTGAGATTTTTTCTAAATTACTTATCATCTCGGAGTCAACCATTCTTACCTTAGCTAAATTCTTATGTTCCGACAATTTAACTACTCTCGACCTACTAGTTTGACCTATGCAGTTGACCTCACAGTCACTGTAGGGTATTTTGTGAATTATATTATTTTGTCTAATTGGGTCAATTGGGTCCTTTAACCTACACAGCTTGTCCCTGAGTGAGTTTGTAGGTTTAAATGGCACCCTAATTCCTGCTTTATTTAGAATCTTACGCAGGGTTTCAGATGTTCCCTTCCTAAATGGTATAACAGTATTTATGTTATCATTATTAGTTTCCCCATTAATTTTATTTTGTTTTTGACCATTTTTGATCTTTCTAATGAATTTTATAGGATAGTTAGTTTTGTGACACCAACGCCTCTTCTATCTGTTCTATTTCATTATTTAGGTTTTTGTGATGTACTGCTTAACGCTCTTGCTCGGTTTGTTAGACACTTAGCTAAGCCTGCCTTAACAGTTAACGGATGAATTAATATCTAAATATCTATTAGAATGTGTTGGCTTTTTATAAACGCATAAAAACATCCTATTTCCCATTTTATTGCTAACACTAATATTATTTCTGAATGTACATTATCCTATACTAATTTTTATTCAAATGTATAATCATCAATTTTACCCATGTATATAAATGAAGCCAGAAAGTTTATATGATTATGAGCAATAGATTGTGCCCGAAACGTCATCAGTAAATATTACTGTATAACACTGTATGACTTTAGATGGTTGGAGGTAATCGGCAGGAAGCCTTTGACTTAGGTTTCGTGCTAGCTGACACTCATCAGCAAGGCGTATCTGCAACCTTGAAGGAACTCATGTCGCTTCTGAGATTCGAACCCGCGTTGCCCAGTGCCACCTGCAGTCAGAGACGTTACCACTGAGCTATTCGGGCCGACTGATGATTGACTTCCTGTAGGACTGTAGTGGATACTTTGATTGGACACTAGTAACTAGTGTGATGTGTCTAGTCCTTTCTTTGGTGCAGACTGAATTCTATCAGTTGGGTTGTAATGTGGCCACCATTCTAGGTAGCTCGCCATCACGGTGCACATTGGTTTGATGATATTAGATGGTTGGAGGTAAGCCTTGGACCTAAGTAGCACTGCAGCACTGGGTGACGCGTGTTTGAATCTCAGAAGCGACATGAGTTCCTTCAAGGTTGCAGATACGCCTTGCTGACGAGTGCCAACTAGCACGAAACTTAGGCTTCCTGTCGATTCTAGGTAGCTCGCTACCTGGTTGCCTGGAGTTCTATTGAGAAGTCGTGACCAGTAGAATCTACCAGGTCGTTGAGTCGTGAGGACAAATATACACTAGAAATACTGCCTGGTGGTCTCTGTAGCTGAATGGTCGACGAGCTTTTCTTGTAACTGGAAGGTGCTGTCTTCGAACCCCCGGTGATGGGTGTGTACTGCTGAAGAGTATCAAACTAGGCTGATGAAACAGCTGTTCAGTACTGTCTGTTGGTTTCCCAATGGTTCTCTTAAAACAAATCAAATCCATACAAATTAACACTTAAAAACACATAGCCTCTTTATTTTTGAGAATTTGAGTACCAAAACATTTTATTAAGTTGTACAGTTTATGCCTAAAAGTATTAGTTTGATTTTGCAAGGGTTTAATTTAATTGCAACTGTTTATGTACTAGATGAAGTATTGTGTAGTTCATTGGTGAAGATGTAACTCATTGGTTATAGCATTTGTCTTTTAGCCAGTGTGTATGTGTGTCTAAGGTTCAAGTTTCGTCGCATCTACTTCAGCTTCAGGGACTAGGTAGTGTCGTCAGTCTGATACATGGAAAATCTGGTCATGGTAGCTAGGTCTTAATAGTTATCTATTGTTTACGGTACTTATTGATAAAAGAGGATCAATAGGCTGTGGGGAGGGGCATTATGTGAAGTCCTTTCGTACACAGTAGTATGCAGCGAGTCTATGATATACATTATTAAATCTTCATAACACTGGTTGGAAGAATGTTAACACAACGTCTGTAAAACTGAAATCAATCGTATAGATGTTATATTACGACTTAGTTTCCGGGAACAGATTCCTCGGGTACTCAGTTGTGTGCAACACTTTTTTTTGTGAGGTCTAATGATACTGTAACAACAGAAGACAAGGGCCAGGCAACAGATCGTTTTATTATGAAAATCAACACGTATTTAT